ATATCTCACATCATGGAAATGAGAAATTTTAGTTAGGCTAGCAGAACTAAATGGAAGACTTGTTATTACCCATTTGAACTTGCTTCATGGGATCTCCAATCACACAAGTTGGGTTCCCATCCCCATTTGTTTCAAGTGACACTATTCCCATTTCCTTCGATGTTTCGGTTATAATTTTTCGTCCTAGGGATTCTGTCAAAGGAGTAGCTAATTCCTTCTGACTTCACAAAATTAATGGAAATTATTCCATTCTCAAACATCATTGCACCGCTTTTAAGGGTGAATGGATATCCACAATTTTAATTTGTCTCATGCGAGTCGACTCAGATGGCGTCGTTGTATTCCGAAAATACAACGGATAACCCTCAATAAAATATAACATCGATGTGACCTTCTAGCACATCGGATAATTCTCAATCAAATAAATATCATCATTGTATCATTATATTACAATGGATAATTCTCATATAACATCATTGTACTACTCTAGTACAATGGATAATTCTCAATAAAACATATATCATCGTTGTATCAATATTTTACAACGGATAATTTCAATCAAATATATCATCATTGATGGTACCTCTCAAATATCTCAATAACCGCCTCAACGTAGTCCAATAATGCTCCTTATCAGCAAAAGCTATTTTGAGCCTCAAGATCACCTCTATTTTTTTTTAAGTACATATGAGAGTCATAAGGGATACTCAATCACGGAATGACATTGAAATGTCCAACCCTCTTTAGTAGTTTTCCAGCATGATGCTTTTGAGATGTAGTATAATACCATCATCATATCCTTCTTATGGCTTTCATACCCAAAATCACATATTATCCACATATAAACAAATAATAATGCACACATACACCTTTTCACATTTAGTGCAAACACACTTATCTACTTCTACTGAGGTAAAATCATGAATAAATAACACTACGTCAAATTTTCCATTCCATTGTTTTGGAGCTTGTTTCAATTCATATAAAAATTTGATCAACTTGCACACTTTGTGTTCCTGATCAGTGACCACATGACCCCCAGTTGCACCATATATATTTCTTCCTCTAGCTCTCCATTTAAAAACACAATTTTAACATCCACTTGATGAAAAATATTGTGAATAGAGTCGATTTCAAGCTTATATGGCCCCAAGAATTTTTTTTTAAAATAGTTTCAGAATAAAAAGAATAATTAAAAAACATTTCCAGAAGATTTCTCTATCTTTGGCTTCTTACTTCTTCTTAAAGAGAATATTCGTCATTAAAAGAATAATTTTCTTTTAATGGATCACTACCACTAGAGGGTTCATCATTAAAGGTTTTATTTCCTTGTAATGGATTATACTCACTATATGGTGCAAGGGTCTTGTGCTCAAATTTCAAAGGACACACATTTTTTCAAAAATTCAGCATTTTTGTTTCAACAACGTATAATATAAATAAATAATCATACATGCATCATTTAGTGTGTACACATTCTCCAAAAACTAATACATTAATATCAGCAATGACATAACTTAAATTATTGCACATTAGCACACAATTTCTTCAATTTATGAAAATCACATACGTGCTCCATTTTTTTTTTAATGCAAAAGTAGCCAAGAATTATAAAGCTCATTTTCACTCAATGAGATAGGTAATAAAAATATAGCTAAGCTCCCCCACAATTTTAAATATTTTAAAACAGGTGCATAGCCCTTCTAGAATTCATAGAGAGATAATTTATATCTCAACCTTTATTTGTACAAAATGATTTTATCAAATAAAAAACTCTCCTTTTAAATAAAATAAGATAAAATTTAGTTTATCTCGAAAAATCACCAATAAATGTGACAACTACTTTTACCACCTCTAAACACAGCGTAGATGCTCTAATAAAATTTATATAAATAATTCATCAAAATATCACAATTTTCTAGAGGTACTCACATATCACTAAATATTAATCTTACGATATTTAGGAGTTTCATAAATCAAATAAAAAATGCTGCCATGTAAAACGCCAAATCTATTATATCACATAACACAATAATCAACCAACCGAAAGTACACAGAAGCATTATCATGCAATATTTCAGAAATGCCAAGTATATAAAGTCCTTTCTTACAATAGCCATTTCCCACAAGAACATCATTTTTGGTCATAACAAAATTATCACAACCAAAAGAAACTTTAACCCCAACTTTTCCCAAGAGATAAACGGAAACTAAATTAGTCCGAATCTCGGGCACATGAAGCACATCATTTAGTGATAAAGTTTTCTCCGATGTGAGTTTAAGAAGAACTTTCCCTTTTCCATGCACCTTAACGGTTTTAGTGTCCGCTAGGTACACGAGCTCTTCGCCATCTCCCGTAGTGGTATAGGAGGTAAAAGAATTTTTGTTTTTACAAATATGCTTGATAGCCCCAGAGTCTACCACCCACTCATTCACATCATTAGTTTTACAACTTTGAGAAACAACCGCAATAAAATTATCATCACTACAAACCAAGTTTAAACTTGATTTTAGTGGGTTGTTGTTTTTCATAGTTGTCGTTTTATCACTAAATAAACGAATAACATTTTTCTTAAAATTGGAGTTAAAGTATGACTTATTGTAAGTAGGAAAATGGAGAGACTAACCATTATACGTAGAAGACTTTTGTGACCGTTTAACCTATTGAAAATGGCTTCCCATGCGGGTGTATCACAGCCTTGTGAGATCACGTGTGCAGCCATATCCGACGCCAAATACTTTCTTGAGAATGTTGGTGGAATTGGCCGGATAAACCTACAAAAAAGCGTTAGAAAATAATATAGCTCGAGTCGCGTAAACGCTGTCCTCAAGAAAGTATTTCCGACTAGCGAAAACCTTTCCCCAAGATAAAACGAGCTCTTCGGCGTAAGCCGGTAACAGAACAACGAGAGTAGAAAATAATATTAATCCAGCAGAGTAAGTTTTATAGAAGAAATTAGGCTAACTCTCGGTTACTTCAAAGATTGGAGCAAGGCAACTATACACTTTTAGTGTGTGTATGATCGCTAATCATTTGTAACTTTCCAGCAGTATATTAAGACCAAAGAAATCTCTATCTCGCTTGCTCCACACAATCATGTATATATATATATATATATATATATATATATATATATATATATATATATATATATATATATATATATATATATATATATATATATATATATATATATATATATATATACCAACAAAAGAAATGAACCGAAGAAGAAAAAGAACGTTGCTTTGCTACCAGGTGAAAAACTGTTCGGCCATATTAAATTTAATTAATAAATGTTATAATTGCTTTTACTAAAAGAAGATTCACATTTGGATATTAAATTTGAAACGTTTGGGTTAGTAACCTGCGGTTACAATCCTTTTTATGCTCAACCGGTAATAGATTTTAATCTATTAAAGGATTAATTAAATATCAGAAATGAAAAAATTGATTTGATAAAATTGATATCAAAACAAGTAAAATTTTATTCATTTGAAATACTCTTAATATTTTCAACAACCTTTGTCCACATGGACCAATGAGAATGTTGCAGTTGAATTATTTAAATCTAAATTAAAAGTGATAAAATGATGTGGTCCAATCAAATGAATGATAGGTATGATACCCCATTTTTTAAAAGGGTACCGGAGTTGTCACCTTTTAAATTTTATACGCAATTTTTAAACATCCACGATGTTGACCCAATTTTTAAAATTTTTAAACATCCACGATGTTGACCCAATTTTGCCTATTCTCTATATTACTCCGTATTTTATATGCAATAAAGAATTTATATGCTCTCTCAAAATTTTTTTGCCGTCCTGACCTTTGATCGAATTAACTAGCAATCAATTGGAATATACAGCTATAATAACTATTGTGCGAATGGTTTGTGGGTAATTTGTGATTTGGTTTTATTTATTGATTTTAAAACTTTTCAAATTATTAATGAGTGGAACGACATAAGTAATTGCAGGTGACATTGTTGACTTGTTGTCAATCCAATATATACGTAAAAATATAAATATATACTAATACTATACTAAGAGTCTCGTTCATGTCCAGCCGGCCTGACGGGATGCTCCGTCCGGCCGAGGTCATTTCGGGCACTTCCCGGTGAAATTTTTTGATGAAATTTTTTGAGCATGTTCTTCATGAAGTCTAGTTTATCCATACCAAATTTCAGCTAAAAATTCAATCGGGAAGGCACTCAAATAATTTCTTGAAGTTAACTGGGCAGTTTATATGTATGAACTGCCCAGTTAACTTCAAGAAATTATTTGAGTGCCTTCCCGATTGAATTTTTAGCTGAAATTTGGTATGGATAAACTAGACTTCATGAAGAACATGCTCAAAAAATTTCATCAAAAAATTCGATCGGGAAGTGCCCGAAATGCCCTCGGCCGGACGGCGGTTCCCGTCAGGCCGGCTGGACATGAAGTTTTCTCACTATACTAATACTAATGTTGTTATATGTCTTTTTACATTCAATCAGCTGGTCTGGTCTGGTCTGGTCTGATCTGGTCTGGTCTGGTCTGAACTGGTCTGGTCTGGTCTGGTAAGGTCTGGTTTCTTTGTATTTTTATAACTATCCAAGTCTGGTCTGGTCTGGTCTGAACTGGTCTGGTCTGGACTGGTCTGGTCTGGTCTGGTCTTGGACAAATTACAGTCCAAGTAAAAACATCCTGAAATCTAACTGTCGATTGTCAAACAAGAGCAATCTAATAATACTACAAGTTACACCCATATAAATTTCATTCTTAAAGGGGTATATCCTTTATTCACCATTATAATAGTTTAAGATAAGATATAGATATATATTACACAAAATTCATTTACAAATGGATAAAAGTCACCCAACGTTGAGGTCGTTTGGTACTCTCTTTTTTGGTTTATTAAGATTATCAGTCAATTTTTTAACCAAATATGTAAACTTTAATTTATAGAGTATGATAATAAGAAAAAGTTAACTTTTCTGATTGGAGCCCCTCAAAAGCCGTTGTCAACCCACTCTCGTCGCTGGTCGTCTCTTCGCAGTTCAGCATGACCGACGAGGAAACGAGCAATCTTCTTCAATGATGATCTGCACCAGCTAACAGCATCCGCAGCACCCCTGCTAGACTGCGACCCACCACCGGCTACCGCGCGCACCGCGTTGCTCTGCCGTCAGCTGCCCAGCGTGACTGGCTTACTGCCGATTGCGTCCGTCCGCCGCACTTGCAAACTGGGAAAAAATTCCGGTTGCCTTCTTTCCGATTCACTACTCATCTAGGTAAACTACATTAAAAGTTGAATTCAGATTTTGTTCAAAATAGGATAAAAAGATCAGGTTCAATTAGTGAATTTTTATTGTACGTGGTTCAGAAAATTCTCAGATTTAACTATTTGTTGACCATCCTTTGTTCATTTAGTAAATTGCAGTATTCTGAAATTTCAGTTAGTGAACTTTAGGAACAAAAGAAATGTAAAAAGTTCTGCATACCCTTCTTTATTAGATTATTCTCACTTCGAGTTCAGGTCTTTTTCTTGTTTTTTATGAACCGTAAATATATTAAAAATGTCAAAAATGTGAAGCATAAGGTAAGTTTTTTATTTTAAAAAACTCAATTACCCTTGTCTTTTCTACTTTTTCTACACTATTTACTACCCCTACTATTTTACCCGTAAACTTTGAGAAAAGCATAATGTAACAAATAAATAAATACAGAGGCAGTATCTTATCTGATATATGTAGTATGAAACATAGGTTGGTGACCTTTTATGCCATTTTCCTAGAATTTCCAGAGGTGAAAAGAATCGAATATCATGAAGGTATTTTCTCTTGGTTTGGTGAGAGTGAATTTGGTTAAAATGATTGAATGTGCTGATATTTTGGTTGAAAGAAATATCATTCTAGCTTAAATGACCTTAAGTTTTTTTAAAATGGAGCAAGTAAAAACTGGTCATTTGAGTGAAACTATTCTTTCTCAATTGCAGGTTGAAGTTGAATCAAGCTACAGCTAAACTCTGGAATGCAAAGTTCACCACAAAATCTGCTTCTACTGCTGCAACATTTCCTTAGCCATGCTAAACAAGTGAAGCAGATCCACTGCCACCTCACCACCGCAGCACACCTCCGCTGTACAACTGAATGGGCCAATACCCTCCTCTACAACACCCTGATACGTGCATACCTAGGGTTTGCACAACCCACCACCACTCTCATCCTCTTCACCCACATGCTTGCCCATCAAGCCCCACCCAACAGTCACACCTTCCCTTCGCTCACAAAAGCCGTCTCTCTCCTCCGAACCAATTGGACTCCTCTTCTCAGCAGACCGCTTCATGCTCAAGCCCTCAAGCGTGGGGCATCTTCTGACCCTTTTGTACAGACTTCATTCCTTGGGATGTACTCGTTGTTGGGTGACCTGGGAAGTGCATGCAAAGTTTTTGATGAAGTTCCGGAACCGTGTGTTGTGGCTTATAATGCTATGCTTGACGCGTGTGGGAAGAATGGGAATATGGGTCTGGCCGTTATAACTTTTTCTACCATGCAAGAAAGAGACATTTGTTCTTGGACGAGCATGATCAACGGGTACGCGATAAATGACTGCTTTGAGGAGGCCATGAAGTTTTTCAAGAAAATGATGTCCCATGATGATGTAATCGCTGGCTCATTGAAACCCAATGAGGCCACTTTCGTTATCGTTTTATCATCATGCGCCAACATAGATAACACCTCAACATTGTATCAAGGTAAGCAAGTTCACGGTTATATGGTGAAGAACGTGGAGTTGAGCAAATTCATGGCAACTGCGTTGATATCTTTCTATGGGAGATTGGGCTGTTTGAATTATGCAAAGAAAGTATTTGATTCACTAAAAGTCAAAGAAGTATGCACATGGAATGCTATGATCTCGGCCTTTGCTATGAACAGCAGAGATGAACAAGCACTGGATACATATGAGACAATGAAGTCTAAGGGGACGAAACCAAATGAGTTAACCTTAGTTGCGGTTCTTTCTGCTTGTGCACATGCAAAACTTGTGGAATTCGGTTTGGAAGTTTTTGATGCAATGTCCGGAGAACTTAAGGTTGAACCTAAGATGGAACACTATGGTTGCATTGTGGATCTCTTAGGAAGGGCTGGTCTTGTGAAAGAGGCGTATGAGTTTGTAAAAAGGATGCCTTTTGAAGCGGATGCCTCTGTTTTGGGAGCTCTTTTAGGAGCCTGTAAGGTTCATGGACAGGTTGAGATGGGAAATGAAGTGGGGAAACTGTTGCTGAACTTGCAACCAAAGAAGTGTGCAAGATATGTGTTGTTGTCAAGTATTTATGCCGGGGCTGAGAGATGGGATCACGCTGCTGCCTTGCGAAGAGAAATGGTTGATGCCAGGATTGAGAAAGTTCCTGCTTATAGTGTGATTCACTGAGGATGCGGGTTTGCCCTTATATCTGCAAAGTATTTGGGTTTGGAGATTTTTAAACATGAAGGCCAAAAGTTGAAAACATAGTTGAGGGCTCAAAATGGGATGAACCCTCTTAAAGTTTTATATTAACGTCTCCAAACTCTATCAGTAGGCTGAATATGGTTTTTAAGGCAAATCCTGTCAAATAACAGGGGCCATCATGAGAAAGTCAGGTGGTGAGGTTGATGCACTTTCACTTCGAGTGGTAGTTGCAACTTAGAAGAGTTTGGGCAAGGTCGGAATTAGGAAACTTGGGTAGACTAATCGGAAAAGGTATGGGCCATGGTGGGGCTGTGGTGGAAGGGGAAATTCTTGAGAAACCCCTCTTCCTTCTTAACTTGGAAGGAATAAATTTTTGTTTTCAGAATGATCATTTCAGGGCAGGGCCGGCCCTGTCCTGTTTTGGGCCTATGGGTGATATACTATTTTGGCCTTATTTCTGAGACAAATAGTAAATTATACTTACTTAAAGTAAAAATTACTGAGTATAATAAAACTAGGAGAAATTACTCTAAATACGACTAAAAACGTTTGTATATTCCAAACTAAGATTATCATGTTTTTATTCTCTAAATAGAAGTAATTAATGTCATATTTTGGCAGTATCATATTTTACACATGGTAGTATTTTCCAAACATGACAGATCTATTTTGAAATTTTTAAAAAAAATACTCTTGTTTTAGGAATTCTCCCTACAACTATCTAATAAAGGTTATAAAATAAAGATGAAATTCACCTTCATATTATTTGAATTGCATTTTTGGACAAAAATAACAACACATGTATCACAAAAGAACTTTATGAAGTAAAAATGTAAAATCATGAATAATTGCTTTATAATCAATCCAAGATCACGTGTGCAATGTTTAAAATTGCTAATCCATTAAATTTTTTGAGGCATAATAGATAATTGGGATGATGTTTGAGAATTGGGAGGCACCGGCAGTCCAAAGACAATAATATAAATTGATAATTTTGTGATTAAAAGATTAAAACATAAGGCTAAAAATATGTGAAGAGACGTGCTTTTATTGATTTAACAACAAATGTGTTGACTTACGACCAACTCTATTTAAAAATCAAAACTAAATTTATATTCTTTTTAAAAACTTGTCTAGTTTTGTTCAAGACTTTTTACTTATGTTTTAAAATTTTCAAAGTGTCAACAAAAATTACACATTAGGCCTAATTATTTAATTGAAATTATAAATAAAAAAGAAGCCTACTCATATTACATACTATCTATATAAAGAAAAAAACTTGGGCCTAATTTTCTTTCTGCTTTTTTCCAGACCTAAGGCGGTTGCCCCTGCTGCCCTCCCCCTAGGACCGGCCATGTTTCAGGCTTTCAGCAGATGAGCAAAGAGATGGAAAGGCTGGGTGATTTGTCAACCCCATAAGTATCTATTTTCTTACTCCATTTATGCTTGGTGTTATTCTTGTGAGAGCCTTGGCTAATGATGTAATATTGCAGCTTTATCTGCAGTACCAAAAGAGTTTCTAGTTTTTGAGTGAGTACATTTGTGGCTTAATACGACTAGTTTTTGTGCTCACATCTGCCACAAGAATTCTTTCGGATTCAGAATGGTAATATTTGATGATAGTTGAACGATCTTCGTTTTAAAATTGTGCTAGCAAGTTGCACTCATCGCCAAGGAATTGATTGTGAATAAAAGAAAGGGAAAATTCCCGAAATATGAGTGAAAAAGTTTGAAAATTCCAAAATACGATTTTCATATTTTTATTCCCAAAATAGGTGTAATAACTGCCAAGTTTGGAAAATACTATCAAAACATGGCAATAGTTAGTCTTATTTTGGGAATAAAATCATGATAGTGCTATTTTGGAATATACAAACAACTTTAGCCCTATTTTGGGTAATTTCTTTAAAAGAAATTAAAAAAGAAACAATTCACATTATCACTCTTATTATGTTCATTAAAATTGCCAAAGAATAAAAAAAATGCTTTTATTTTTGTAAAAGTGGTTTTTATTCTAAAAGAGAACATGCGAACAGGCCTTTGAGGTGGAAGATAAAACCAATAAGTATGTCACAAAAGTACCAGTGTGAGCAGTGGTAGACTCATAAAAAATACGGTTGGTATACTGTAGGAGCAACCCACGGTGAGCATGTTGCTCCCACAGAAAAAAAAAAGTGTGTTACTGTTCAAGTGCATGAACAGTAACTTCTTTTTTATTTTTTCATTATCGCAATAGCAGAATAGGTGTAACTCGCGTGTAACAAAATGTAACTCACGCTGATAAGAAATGTAAGTGCAAGTAAGTCGTAATGTAACTTGTCTAATACGGATTATACAAACAAGGGGAGAAAGTACAAATATACCCCTGCACTATGGGTGGAAGAACAAATATACCCTTATTCTATTTTTTGGAACAATTATACCACAAAAGTATATGTTGAAGTGCATATATACCCCTGAACTTTTAAAAAGTGCAAAAATACCTCTCATGTTCTTATAAAGACGCAAATTTACTCTTATTGACTTTAAATAGATAAAATAAATTTTAAAAAACACCAAAAATAAAATATAAATTCGAAATTTAAAAATAAAGATTTATTATTATGTTAAAATATTAATTCTTTAATTTTAAATTTAAAAAATTTTTATTTTTCCGTTGTAAATGAAGCTAACTCATTAATACTAGTATTACTTTTAGTCTTGTTATGAAATTTTGAACACATTATTATATTTTTTTAAATAACATTCTTTGATTTTGTTTAAACTTAATAAAACTAAATTCACTATTTTGTAATCTTCAACTATTTATCATCATACAAAATATGTAATTTTATAGTGCAAAGAATGCAAAAAAAAATTTATTTTTGTATTGGAACACATAAGTTAACACTTTTTTCGAAAAAATCTTAAATATATAGTAATGTTTTGAAATAACATTTTATAATAACAATATTTAAATGTGATTTACAAACAATAAAAGGGTGAATTGGACACAAGTACATTTTTAAAAATTTTATTTTTTAATTTTGAATTTATAATTTATGTTTGGTGTTTTTTGAAGTCAATAAGGGTATATTTGCTCCTTTATAAGAATATGAGGGGTATATTTGTACCTTTAAAAAAGTTCAAGGGTATATATGCACTTTCACAAATACTTCAGGGGTATATTTGTTCGGAAAAAAAGAATAGGGGTATATTTGTTCTCACACTCATACTACAGGGGTATATTTGTACCTTTTCCCTACAAACAAGTCATTGATTTTAATGAAAATAAGGAGTCTAATTGCTCAATTACGTTACCTAAATAGTTTAGAGAAAATTGAGTGTATATACAAATGTCTTTTAAGTTAATGTTAGGGATTAGTAAAAATAAACTACTCATAGATAGCATGTATTTAAAGCCCACCGGTACACTATATGACAATTTCTTTCCTCGGCCATTCACCATCCCTCTCTATAATAACTGGATCACGCCTCTACTGAACAAGCATCTATACGCTTATAGTTCTCAGCCAATCTCATGTCGGCAACAACATACAACTAAATCTATTGCAGAAATATAAATCCATTCCAACTTATATCCAATTGCATAAACACACCAAAAATCACACGGGGTATTTACGGACTCTCTTGCCAACTGATCTCTTGCACTGTTGCTGTGTTGCACCTGTGGTTTTTAATTATTTTAGTTTATGTCATCATCTTCTTAAATATCACAAAAAGAACTATAGTTCTTTCCCAGACAAAAATATCAGTCTTCTAAAATTATCACAAAAAGAACTATAGTTCTTTCCCAGACAAAAATATCAGTCTTGTGTTCTCCATATATGACATATATACCGATCTATGGATGTAATTTCGGATATGTGCCTTTGCCGGCTTCTCTTGAACTGCTGGAGTCCATGAGTGTGGTGTAGATAGGGATGGACTGGGCCGGGCCGAACCGGCCCGGAACCGGACCGGCCCGCTACTGTGCGGGCCCGGACCGGACCGGGCCCGGTTGGCCGGTTCCGGGCTTTTAGCCCGTGTTGGCGGGTCGGGCGGGCCGGTTCCGGGCCCTATTTTTGTTGAACCGGCCCGGGCGGTTCGGGCCGGGCCCGGTTCATTTTTTTTTTTATTTTTTGGTTTTTTTCAATTTTTTTTCTTTTCCTAGGGTAGGGCTGGGTGTTTTAGGGAGGTTTGGGGCATGGGAAAAGAAAAAAAATTGAAAAGAAAAAAAATTGAAAAAACCAAAAAAAAAAAAAAAAAAATGAACCGGGCCCGGCCCGAACCGCCCGGGCCGGTTCAACAAAAATAGGGCCCGGAACCGGCCCGCCCGACCCGCCAACACCCAGCCCTACCCTAGGAAAAGAAAAAAAATTGAAAAAAACCAAAAAAAAAAAAAAATGAACCGGGCCCGGCCCGAACCGCCCGGGCCGGTTCAACAAAAATAGGGCCCGGAACCGGCCCGCCCGACCCGCCAACACGGGCTAAAAGCCCGGAACCGGCCAACCGGGCCCGGTCCGGTCCGGGCCCGCACAGTAGCGGGCCGGTCCGGTTCCGGGCCGGTTCGGCCCGGCCCAGTCCATCCCTAGGGTGAGGGGGGGGGTAGGGAGATAACAAGAAAGTAAAAAAAAAAAAAAAACATTGAACCGGGCCCGGCCCGGCCCGGCCCGGTTAGGCCCGGACCCGGTATCAACCCGGGCCGGTTCCGGGCCCATGTAACCAGAAAAAAAGCCCGCCCGGGCCCGGCCCGGAACCGGAACCGGCCCGGGTCCATCCCTAGGTGTAGACCTCCGTTTAGCACCATTATTATATAAAATGGCCACTTGTATTTGTAAACATGATGAGGAACGAAGATCAAATATGGTATTTAAAGTTCTACGGGTTTTATATCAACAAAAAAGTGTTATTTATTTTATTAAACAAAATAGAGGCTATTAATTTTATATAGCATATTTTTTATGCTATATAGCCATTTCTTACAATAGTTTATGTGTTTTGTTTTTAATATTAAGGCCATAAAATGCTTTTATCTGTTTTTTTTTTTTCAAAAAATCATTTCTTTTTGCCAAAAGCACCCCTTGGAGTTGGGACACAAGGTGAGTTTGCCATTGAGCGTAAGGATGATTTGATGTCACATAATTGCATTTCAATTAATTAACATATCTCTAGCAATTTCATAGACACGCCAAAACATAATGTAAAAACAAAGATTATAAATGTAACAAATACAAAAAACGTAGATATCATAAAAGACTAAACAGTACGAAATGAGATAGATTTTCTGTCTGGCCATGATTCTATTTTCTGAAAATACTTCACCGGCACTACTCCATCAAAACCTTCAGTCAAGATGACTTTGTTTTCTGAGATGTAAAGCTTCATTCCTTCTGAAGTAAAAATGAAATATAATCATGGGGCATTAGATGGTGACTCAAAGGGATTACCCAAGTCATCTATACTTGACTGCTTCTAGTTTTTCAATTAATTACCTTCCAATGCTTTTTTGGCATCCAGAAAGATGAGCATATTGACATCTCGCCTCATTCCTGCAAAGCCAGCAAACATGTCAAACCAATGAGAAGAGCACTACACCTATCTATCGTTCCATCTCACATGATTCAACAACTACTGTCTTCACTCGAACATCACTTTTAACTTATGGCGAACTTGATCATTAACCTTTTAGGATTTTTTTTTCCCTGATGAAAGTATCAATTGCAAGTTTCCAACCCATACACAATTTTAAATATATTATTATCTTACCACTAATTACACCACCATCGGTTGGTAAGCCACATGAGAAGTGTACATGCAATCTTCTCATGCGTTTGAGACCTTGCTCTAAAATCGATTGCAAATCCTTCTTGTATGTCCCATGCACACAAACTGCAATTTAAACAAATCGCCATAAGGAAGATGTACTACGGCAAGCATACAACATACTAGAGAAAGAATGTTCAAAGCACATGTCCATCATATCTTTACCTGGCACTTCTTCAGCTGAAATGATTGGTTTCAACAAGCTTTCTGTTTCAACCGTCTATCCACGCCGTTCCCAGAAAGACAAAGAGAAAGAACTCAATCAAATTCCTTGCTAGAATAAAGCACTTGTTTGAATGCATTGGGAGAACTGAAATTGCATATTACACACTGCCTATAAGTTGCACCCCCACCATCATTATTATATATTCATTGGAACAAAATGAACTTATACAAAAAGAATGACCAAGCAACAATGGGAGCAGTAAGCGCTGTGCATCAGTACTTTCAACGTTGAGATCTTTTTAAATGTTCATTTTCTGGTAGAGGGAATAGATACCGCACAATGAAGATAGCTTAATACGTGAGGAACTCCTCACCGTCCATCCCAAAAACACAAAGAACAGAGTCCTGTTTGACCAAGGTACAATTAAAACTTTGATGTGAAAAGCTGTTCTAAGTCATTATCAAAGTTATCATATATAGGGAGGGTTTGCGATTGCTTCTATTTTATAAAAGTAATTTTTAAAGTGATTTTAGAGAAAGTGCTTAATAGTAAAAGTTGGTAGTGTTTGAGAAAAAATGTTTTTAAAAAAGTAAAAGTTGGAAATGTTTGGTAAAAAAGGTGTTTTGTGCAATAGAAAATGTGAAAAACACTTTAAAGCACCCATACACCTACTTCCAACTATCAGCTTTGAAGTGCTTAATTTAAGCAGAAGTTGTCACTTGAAAACCCTCAATTCAGTTTTTAATAGGGAAAATGGAAACTAATAATCCAACCTTTTAGCGGTCTTCTTTTAATAATCCCACCTTTTGATTATTCATGAATAATCCAACCTTTGCACCTCATCTTCATTCATTGGTCCCTGGTCGGTTAATGACCTACTATTCCAAGTTATTTTCTTATCTTTCCAAAATATTATCTTTGTAAAAGATGAGATTTATGGTATAATGATTTGCAAAGATAAGAAAATAGCTTGGAATAGCAGGTCATCAACCGGTCAGGGATCAGTGAATGAAGATGAGGTGCAAAGGTTGGATTATTCATGAATAATCAAAAGGTGGGATTATTGAAAGAAGACCGCTAAAAGGTTGGATTATTAGTTTCCATTTTCCCTTTTTAATATGCCAAAAGCTGAAAAACACATTTTAAATTTTTCGGAAACACTCCATTAACTTATGTCCGAAAACAGTCTCTTTGTACTTAAGTACAAGGGTAAGACTGCGTACATCCGACCCCCCTTACCCCACCGTAGGTGGGAGCCTTTGTGGCACTGGGAAGACGACGACGACTACGACGATGATGATAATGATGATGATGACGACTTCATTAACTTATGCATCACTGTATTACTCTCCTATAGAAAATTACATGAAAAAATGGTTCCAGTTCATCAAAGAAGACTCCACTTTTTCCTTCAGGGGAGTACATAATATCTGTGGACAAATGGATTACCTCTATTGAGTGCCCTTGGTTTGCACGAACCCAAAGCTCTCCACTTTCTTCTAACAAGCTTAACCTTTGTTTGTTATCTTTTCTGACTGCCTGAGATATATAAGGAGCAAAAGGTGTAACATTAATTTGCAACTTCTATAAACTTGGTATACACTATAGAACTTCTATTTATAGGACTTTTAAATTGCAACTTCTATAAACTTGGTATAGACTAGAACTTCTATTTATAGGACTTTTAACTTGCAACTATACTATAATTTCTTGAAACTTACAATGCTTATAAAGCAAAATAATGAGCTTAAACCCAACAGAAATTGGAAACCTAGACCTAGGGAAACCCTAATGTGTCTTAAACTTGGTATAATCATATCCTTTACTTTAACATAAAGTGAAGGCAGGAATATTACAATGCAAAAAGATGAATGCTTGACAGAAGTTGCTGACAACAAAATCAAGTATTTTCAAAGGTGCGCGTGAATTTAACATAGAAGCAATAGACAACACTAAAGGGAGAAAGTCTTTGCTGAAAACAAACCTCTTTGATATCATCAACTGTGTGCAACCTCAATGGAATATTGGCAAATGTTTTTAGATGTAGTTTCAATAGATCTTGGACCTTGACAAACCCATCGCTCCTCATATTCAAATTTAGCTCTGAAGCCATGTGACGAAGAATTCGAACTCTGAAGTGAGCCCACAAAAAAATGTATTCATACCCACTTGTTTTCATTAACAAATACATAGATGATTTAGAACAAGGAATTTGAATGTATACAGGGATTCAGGCATAGTGATCTTTGTCAAGCTATCAACTTCCAATCCTTTTATAATGACAGTAATAACAATCTTGACAAAGATCACCAGTGCAAAGCTTTTGTGAAACAACCTGAGAAGCATACATTTTAAGTGGAATACAACTCACAGTTTCACACCATTGTCCACTTCATAAAAGGTCTAAATTGTAGCGGAACAAAACAAATAACACTAACAAGATAATCTTTGGAGCGGCCTCTTGTAAAAAATGACAAGGGAAGGGTTGCTCCTTATACACCCTTGTGGTGGGACTCTTCATCGGACCCTCGCCTTGCGGGGGATGCCAATGTGCCCCGGGCTGCCCCTTTGTTATTTATTATTATTACTTCAGGGCGTGTTTCCTGAGTAAAAGGTAATTACTTAAGGAGTGATGCCCCTTTTAGACGAGCTGAGAGGTGGGAGAAGAGGCGGGAGAGTGAGAGGTAAACCCAAACAAACTTGGATTAGAAGAATCAGAACTAATATGGGTCCTCTTGGTTGGATGAGAGTATAGCTTTGGAAAGAGCAAAGTGGAGGGCGCATATTCGTGTGAAGGATTGATCTCTTTTCTCTCTTCTCTCGTTTTCTGTTATCTTTTATGTTCTTTATCTTACTATGCTCTTATGTTATTTTTATCTTTTATCTTTCTTATGTTCTTTTATTTTTTTTATCTTTTATCTATCTTATGTATTGATTCAAATTGCACAATGCAATAGCGCATTGAGGCACGCCACTCAGGGACATTCTACAGAAAGGCGTAAAATTGCATTGCCAAAGGCACAGGAGTAGAAACATACGCTATGTTACTCAGACGCGTACGCTATCTGCAATGCGCAACAAGGCGCGGTGAGGCGGTTGCCTTATAAACTGAAGTAGATATGTCATATGTGGGCCGATAAGGCCCACTTTATATTTTTTTAGTTCGCCATAGTGTACACTATTCCCTTCGTTGCTTAACCCTGCGTTGCCGACCTGTGTGTACACTATTCACCATAGTGTTCCCTATCTGTGTTGCTGCTTAACCCTTAGGTTGCTGCGTGATTCACAGGTGCTTCTTCATAGGCCGTAAACTTCATCTGATGAAGTTTCATATGCTTCTCATTTAACTTCAATGCTTTTTGTTAGAAATACTATCGTATATGATTGTCATACTAAGTATATTAGTGTCATGGTTTTAATCTTAATTTCAGTTAATAAATTATTTTACATCGTTTTCATAATTGATATAGAAACTTAATTCTACATATTATCTTAGCATTAATATTAATGTTAATATTATCTTAATTAGAATTTGTTATTATATTACATTTGATGGCTTTTGATGATTACTACTCTTTATTTTTCATTGTGTTTATAAACACACACAAACATACATAGGCATACATAAATTTTATGCCTCAGCCCTCAGGTATACGCCTCATTGCGCAACGAGGCTTACGCAATATGCAATAATAAAAGATCGTCACGACTATGCAACTCCCATTTCGAACCTCAATCTTATGTTCTTGTGTTATTTTTATCTAATATTTATTTTTGTTTTATTCATTTTATCTAACCTTATCATTTTATTTTTGGTTCTGATATCATGGATTGCTTCATGTTAGTCGACCCAAAAATCTTTTGGGAATAAGGTTTAGATGTTGCAAATGTATTGTTACTAGTTGTGGACAGCATATAAATAAGGGAGTGTTTGCCATTGCATCTACTTTAAAAAGGTGATTTTTTTACAGTGATTTTGGAGAAAGTAATTAGTAAAAGTGATTTTTTTAAAGTGATTTTTGAGAAAAAGTGATTCTGGAAAAGTAAAAATTGGTAGTGTTTGATAAAATAAGTGTTTTTTGTGTAATAGAAAAAGTGAAAAGCAGTTTAAAGCACCCTTCCACCTGCTTCCAGCTTTTAGCTTTTAAGTGATTAATTTAAACAGAAGCTGTTATTTGAAAACACTCTTTTCAGCTTTTTTAATCCAAAAGCTAAAAGCACTTTTTTAAGTAAGTGCAAACACTCCTTAAATCAAGGATATTGCAAATGCATCTCCAGAGAAACGCATAACATAACAAATAAAAAGATACGAAGGATTGAACATACAGTAACCGACCAAGAGCATCGACTTTATCTTTTCCAGAGCCACCACCAAGACTGCTCGACCTTTCACTGTTACCCCTTGCATTAAATCCTCTCCCTCTACCGTGGCTGGTGTAATTCAAATCACAATAACATGAAAATCAATGAACATAAAAAAATGACAGTTAGACCACAGCCGGGGGAATGTAATTCAAAAAATATTAAAGATACCTGTGCTTTGAAGGTGCAAACCCAGAAAAAGAAGAGGTTGGGTTTTTGTGTGAATCCATTATAGTTAATATGCGAAAGCTGGACTGCAGAGGGAACGGTGTAGAGGAAGTACGGGGAAGTTGAAGAAGACCGTTGATGCAGCTTTGAAGAAACCGAAATCCACTATAGTTCACTAAAGAAGCAGTACGCATAAGGGACACTGACTAATTGAGAAAGTTGTGCCAAGTCTGATGGTGATAGGCGATGGCCAATTCACTGCAAAGCAATACAACAGAGACAGCAGTGGAATTGCAGAAGTAAAAATATCAACTTAAGCTGCCAGATATAGAAGAGGGAAAAAAGCAACAACACAAATATCCTCAACTACAATTCAGTGAGTAAATATATTAAATCAATTTCATTCCGTCAAAATTGAACCCCCCCCCCCTCCCCCCGTAAAAACTAAAAGAGACTGTGATTTATCCTTGCTGATATTTCTAACAGTTCATTATTCACCATCAAGATGATCCAAAACATGACAACAATAACCCTGCACTACAAAAAAGTGAAGCAAAAAGTAACTGATGAACGTTTGTTTGAAACTCGCCATGAGATCATTTTTTGTATCATGTTGGTCTCAATCCTGAATAAAGGAGGTGTGTGAGTGTGTGACGGCCAACAATATCACTTAAACACATCATATGACATGAATTGAAATATGAATATCGCTACAACTAGGTCGTTGCCTGGAAGTGACACGTCATCCCTCCGCCCAGGGTGGTGTCAAATATGCAAGGGTCATACACTTCATAGGCCTAGGTGTGGTGATAAGAATGCTAAAGTTGCTAGGTCATCGCCAGACAGCGGCGCACCACCCCTTTGCCCAGAGATGGTGTAAAATAGGCGAGGGCGTGGTGGGGTCAAAGTGGTGCTAAGAATAGAAAATGGAGTGCTAGATTGTGTTTTAAGACGTGGAAATGTGGAATGTTGGATATCCTATGAGAAGGTTATGAAGAGGAGGAATGCCAACATTATGTGCGTGCAAAAAACTAAGCGGATTGGAGAGAAGACACATGAGATTAATCTCAAAGGTTTTAAGTTGTGATATTCGTAGAGATAGAAGATCATAAACGGAGTCGACATTATTGTGACGTGTGCCTATGTTGAGGATATGGTGGAAGTATGTAGGAAGAACAACCGCATCAATTTATGAGCATCAAATTGATGTTAGGGGATCAGATCATGTCCATTGTAAGTGCCTATGCACCACAAGTGGAATCAAATATCTGTCACTCAACAATTTCAGGAAGATGTTGAGGAAGTGGCGTGATGAATGCCATGGGGAGAGAAAATGGACATACTAGACGACCTCGATGGGGACGTGGGCCTGAGTTGTGATGGTTTTAAAAGTATTCATGGTAGACATGGTTTTGACACTAGAAATGAAGCGGGAAATAACGTTTTGACAAACATGCAAGAATTGATTATAATGAATATTTGGTTCAAAAAAAGAGACTCTTACATTGTGACCTATAGATATGGGGCTAATATAAGCCAAATAGTACTTAAGTTATCTACATAGTACGGACTACATGGAGAACTAGCTACATTGATCGTAAGGTTATCCCAAATAAGAGGTAAGAAACATAGAAGAAGGATAAAGCAATAAGTGCAGTCAAAGATAAAGTGGTAGAGGTTTGAGGGGGGTTTCCAACATAATTTTGCACACAAAATGTTTGGTAAAGATATATTGTGTATTGATAATGATGCACATGTGAAAGATGTGTGGTTATCAATGGAGTTGACCATCAACAAAGTGACTATTTTGTGGTTCCTGATAAATTTTAGAGTTATGAACCCACCTAAGACTAGTTGGAGTGGTGAGGTATTAGGAGTCCAAAACGTTAAAGGTGACATTTTTGGACTCCTAATTTCATACATTGGTGGGTTAAAGAGTGTAGTAAAAATGGGTAAGGGGATGGAGGGATTTAAATTTGGATGGGGTATTGACAACCAAAGAAAAAGGGAAAAGAAAGTAAAAAGGGGAGTTTGGCGGAGGGGCTGCTATGCACAGAGGGAAAGGGTAGGGAAAAAGGGATATACTCCTATCAAAATTCATTAAATTATAATTTTTTAAACACTTATAACTCTTTTATTTTTCATCCAAATTTTTCTAAAAAATATCGAAATTCATGAATTTTTATGATCTTTCACATGACACCAATATGTAATATATAAAAACGAAAAACTATATCTAATCTTTTTATTGTTAGAGTTTTCTTGAGCTCAAAATAACACGAAACACAAATTTTTAATTCATGGATCCTCCACAAATAACTTAATATTCCACAATCGAACTTTACTTTAACTAAGTTCATTTTTTGTTAACCGAAAAAATGTTAAACAAAATTAATGAAATTTATTTATTTTTACATAGAAATGTGTATTTTTTATTTCATAATTATTCAGGGGAAAATTAAAAGGAAAAAAATAATAGACTAATATATTTAGGAATTTGTCTAATATATATTTAGGAATCTGCCTAATATCTATTTAGGAATACTTTGTATTTTGGCAACTCCTCTATTATAAATATATCTGTCAGAACTCCTATTGGAGTACCTCTTTCCCATTATTTCACATGGTATCAACTATCAAGAGCTCTAGGTTTGTAGATACATTTTTTTCCTTTTTTCGGTTCACATGAACCTTATTATAGCCGCCGCCGCCTCGGGGTCGACTACCGCCACATTTACGGTAGTCTCTGATCCTTTGAAGATGAACGCGGCTAATATGGCGCAGATCACCTCCTTCGCGTCGCTGAACACGGTGCTTGCTTCTAGCGTGCCGTTGAGTTCGCCGCCTGCTGCTGCCTATGTCCGCGCAGCCCACCTTCTCTGTGTCGCTGACCACGGTGCTTGCTTCAAGCGCGCTGTTGAGTTCGCCACTTGCTGGTGCAGACATATATTCTCATGGAGATCATATTATCAAAGATGTGCCTTCTAATCTTCCGCTCACGGATATATTTACTAAGAGTTTTTTTTTAGTTTGCAATTTCATTTGTTAAAGGACAACCTGCGCGTTGTATCTCCCGCACAGTTTGAGGGGGTGTAATAGACTAATATATTTAGGAATCTGTCTAATATATAGTTAGGAATCTGCCTAATATCTACTCCCTCCGTCCCACTAAGATTGTCCCATTTTACCTTTTCGGGAAGTCCCACTAAGATTGTCCCATACCAAATTTGGTAAGGATTGTGTGGATCTAAACCATTCTTACTTTATTCTTACTTTATCAATTTAATATCAACCACACAAACCCACTTTTCTTAATAATCGTGCCACCTTCTTCCGTCCCAATCTTAGTGGGACGGAGGTAGTATTTAGGAATACTTTGTATTTTGGCAACTCCTCTATTATAAATATATCTGCCAGGACTCCTATTGGAGTACCTCTTTCCCATTATTTCACAAAAAATACTTATAATAATTTAATTAATGTTTTACTAAATTGATATGTAAAAAAATATGCAGAGTGTATTTTATTGACGGTGCCGGAATGCAGGGAAATAAGAGTAAAAACATTGTTTTCATATGAACGGAGTTCATTTTTGACATTTTGGACTCCACACCGCTCCAAGGCTCTGTTTGCAATCACTTAAAATAAGTGATTGTGGCTTTTTTCTAAGAAAAAAGCACTTATTTTCCCAAACATTACCAACCTTTACTTTCTCGTTTTTCGTGTAGAATCTACTTTGTACTTTTTCTATTACACAAAAAGCACTTATTTTACCCAACACTGCCAACTTTTACTACTAATCACTTTTTCCCAAAAAGTGCTTTTATTTAAGCACAAGCATTTGCAAACAAACCCTAAATGGTCTAAAGAACGGGTGAAATCCGTTAATGCTCTCACTCAGCAATCCAGTAAGCTAAATAGCTAATACTGTAAAGATATTTTGATGTAATCGATACTCCCAATATTCCTAAAAATAAAGAATGCTTCACAGTACAGATGCTTCAAAATTATGGATGCTGCCAACATTTAAAAAAATGCAGATTAAAGAATTATAAAAATACAGCCTTGTCATTCTTTTATAACAAAGAAAGTAACTATCAGGAACCTCAAAATGAGGTCTGTACAGTGGTTGTTATCTTACAAAATGGGCTAACTAAAGTCTAAAGATCACTAGGGTAGTTGTTTCGGAATTGAAATCTTTTTACCATAGATCGAATATTTTTTAATGAATAAATGTACAATTAAAACAAGGCTTAATTTTTGTTTGAGAATACTCCGTATTTGATATGGTTGGAAGAATGAAATACCTGGATATGGAAGAGTAATGAATGGTCGATCAGAAGTAGTATGGCGGTGAGGCGGAGGGGTGCGGCAGCGGTGGAAGGTCGGTGGTACCGCGGTGGGTCTGTCGAAGCGGTGCGCCGGAGGCTGGGCAGTGGTTGCTCTTTGGCTCGTCCTTGTCTGGTCGATGGACGATATGGATTGCGCGGAGGAAGACGCGGACACCGGAAGAGCATCACAGCCACCGCTTTCGATCCTTTTGTTAGAGCATCTCCAGTGGAGCTCTTTGGACGTTAAAATTTTGTGCCACATCATCAATATAAAAAGTGTGGTGATTTTTTCATCTCCAACCCACTCTTTGACGGTTCCTTTTAATCTGACCTGTATCCAACGCTTTCGACCTCTCTGTTGGTTTTCTGAAAGCAAGTTTCACGCTGTGAGAGCCATTTACGCACAATTCCGCAAAAAAAAAAAGCACTCCATCTCTGAAAAAAGTGGCGGCAATTCCCCCGCCCAAACCTAATTCTATGAATCTCACTATTTTCACAGCAGTGTATATATTATTGGCCGCCTCAGCCAGAAACTCAAGTCACCGTGTCCATTTCCCCAGGTGTTCTTATCCAAGTCTTCCGGTGAGAGTTGTTTCATATCCGGCCGGTGAGAGTTCTTCTAATTAGAGGTATTTTACTTCTGATTTCATGTTGCTTTATTTTATTTCTCAAACAAATGGAATATAATAGATTTGATTTGGGTGGGTGGGGTTTGTCTTATACTCCGTATTGTTTTACTTTTTGTTAATTCCCGATGCTTGCCGGTAGATGAAACACGGATTTTGGGCGGAAACTACCATTCTTCTTCTGCAATTTTGGAACTAGTAAACTCATGTAAATACTTTACTTTTGTTTATTTGGCAGAACCGTAGTACTTTGGATTTCTTATACAGAGTGTTGTTCTTATTTTATTTGAATTGTTATTTGTGATAAATGAATTCTATGAATATTGAATTTGTGATTTACCAATTTGGAAAAAAAATGTCTTTTACTTGTGTAAATGAAAATTCGTATGCAAACATAAAAGTACACATGAATATAAAAAACACACTGCAAATGGAATTACATGCTAATAAAATTGAAAGCTGAACAATGCAATGCTATCTATTATTAATTACTACGTAGTTTAGAATGATATACTTCACTTATATTTGGATGATGTGCTATTATTAGGATTCCACTCTATTGTTTAATAGTTTAGAATGAACTAGTTATTTGGATTCCTTCAACTGTGATGGAGGTAAAAGTATCATAATAATCCTTTGCTTCGTATTGCTTTGTTTAATGTGTTATGGTACTGTAATGACTAAATTTATTTATCAAAGCAGCATAAATGGATTCACAAGACTTGTCTGAGTTTGCAAATACTAGGCAGCCTACTAGTTACTCCATGCCCCCAATGAGCATGAACCAATTTAATCCTCCATCCAATTACACCATGACATCGCACAGTTTGAATCAATTCAACCCACCTACTGCATACTCTATCCCACCTCACAATATGAACCAATTTACGCCACCCATCTATCATTTTCCAGCGGCATCAACCTTTTGTGTAAAGTAATTATCGTAATTTTCTACTGCATGCAAAATTCGCTCGAATAGCTTAATATCCATACGAAATCGACGACGAAACTTATCTGGAGTATACTTTGACTTCTCACCAATGAAGTAGTCACTTTTAATCAAATCATGGCGATCTTTCCTATCACGATAAATGTATTGTCTACCAACAGTTGAGCCCCCATGTCCACGTTTTTTACCTGTTAAAAACGTTGAAATCAAAATTGGAACCTGAACCGTGGCAGTTTCAACCATGAATGAGTCAGCTTCTTCATCATCATCCCTAAAAATTGACTTGATAAGAGAAAGTGACTCTGTGCTTGATGATGATGCAGCAGTGGAGCTGAATTCAGATTCTTCAGATGACATTAGCTGTGGCACGTTAACATAAATTTAAAATATAATTTTGATATAATGAATGTAAAAAAACTAGCAGGTTCATATATCAATACATGTTAAAATCAATTGAAACTCACACGTGATATGACTGAAAACACAAACAAGACAGTAACAAAATCAAATTAAAAAATCATATGCAACTTTTCTCATCAACCATCCGAATTGATAAATTCACGATCATCAATTTTTCTCTATTGTTTCTAGATAATCCAAAAGAAGAGTATACGTACACATGAAGAAAATTAATTATCCAAAGGGTTTGTGGTAGAAGAAGCAGAAATCAAATAGGAGGAACTAAATACCTCAACTTTGATACTTCGTTCCTGTTTTATGCCTTGGAGTGATATGGCTGCCCATGATTTGGTTTATGGGTTTAGGTATATAGGTTTACGGAAACCAAGGATTTCCGTTTATGAGTTTATTTCGATATGTGTTTAAATTTTCTTTTTAAAAGGTAGTTCCATTAATTGATCAACATCATGCATTGGACACCTCTTATTAATGTCTTTTGATGTGCATCTTATGTGGAAACACACTGCTTTAAATAATTGACATTTGGCAAAATTTATCTTCACTCAAAAGAGAACCATTGGAGATGCTCTTAGTGTTGGGCCACTTTTGTGGCCTGTATATCATTAATGTCTTGGCTGTTTTTCCTTTTCACTTTTAAATTTTTCTATTTTCAATTTTGTTTTATTATTTCAGTTCTGGACTTTTATTTCAACCGAATAGCGAGCTTTCCCCCACTCTCTTCTAAGCAGAGGAGAATCGAAGAATCATTTGGAGCAGATGTTTGGATTTATGCACTAGATTTGAGTTGAATAATACTTTCCTCTGAGGCAGGTCCGGTCCTGACATTTTATGTGCCCGGGACAATATAAATAGACTGGGCCTCAAGGATAGCGGATGAATGTTTATAATGTTCTTTTTGCTATAATAATCTATAATTTAAAATTATACAATTTTACCGTCCAAAAGTAGTATAACACATCAAAAAAACTAACAAAGCACATGATTAGAAAATATATATATAGGGTATTTGATAAGTGACATTTGAGGATACAATGTACCTAAGAGCCGAGTGAAACAAGTAGTGCAACTATTAGGTGCAATAAAATTTTTAAATTAAGGAAAGCTGTGAAATTATATCTTGTATAATTAGGAGTAACTTTTTCATATTTTAGATCACATTTTCACTAGACAAAAACAAATTCTACGTTTCTAAATTATGGACACTAAAGTTTAATCTTTCACTAAATGAGAGAATCGGAGGAAATTTGTGAAATTTATCAATAAGTTCTAGATATACATAAGACATGTACACTAAAAGAATAAAATTAATGCAATAATCCGTAATATAATGATTCAAATGAAATGGTGAAATATGTTCTCAATGAATTCTAATGTGGATGTTTCGAAATTATAGACTTGTATCGTGTAGATGCTGAATAACTAATTAGAAGTATCTAAAAAATATAAGTTTGATTTTATATTTTACTCCCTCCGTCCCAAAATGGTTGACCAAATGTCCTTTTTTGGCCATCGCAAAAAGGTTGACCATTTCCATTTAAAGTTAGGAATATGCGTTTAAAGTTAATTCTCTCTCCTCTGCACAAATTTCAACCACACAGTTTTTACTTTATTAATCCACGTGCAAGTCAAGATTGGCCAACGATTTTGGGACGGAGGAAGTACCTTCTATAGATTTAGGATGTAAATATAATTAAAATAGTGATGTACATAAACACACACACACACACATATTTGAGAAATTTTTGGGCCCTACTGGAGCAAAGGGTCCTGGGCACATGGCCCTCCTGCCCATACCCCAGGACCGGCCCTGCTCTAAGGTTAGCTTGGGATGAATAGTTTCAGGGGAAAGATACGAATAACTCGTGATTGAAATGCCATTAGATAATTTCTTATCTCAACTATTCATCCAAGCTGATTCTTATTTAATAAAATAAGAGATTCCAAACACTGGAAAATTTTGTGGTTGGTTTCATCCATGAAATTTCCAGAAGGAATCTTGTACATGGAGGGATTAGGTTCCAGAAACATTACGGATGGTAAAAATGATGTTGAATCAAGAAAGCTTTGGTATGTTGGGAAAGCTGCCACTCTCTTTTTTTTGCAAGTTTCTTCTTGACTAGCAGTTGAGACTTGAGAAAGTTGCAAGAAAATGAGAGACGAGCAACAAATAAATTTGTCTGTAGAAATCTAAGTGTTAAGGTTTTTATATAGGCTAAGGCTTATTGCAATGGAGGGGTGAAAACCCCAAATGTGAGGTTTTCACCTCAAAAGAGTTGCAACCCAGATGTTTTTTCGTACATGAGGGTCTCATCGCCAATAGATAAAACGGATGGGAAGAGTTTCTATGCGGAGCTTTGACTCCACTAGTGGATCTGGCATGCACAGTGGGCTGACATCCGCAGGACAAAAGAAATGGTCAGGGTTGGTGCATAGCATTCACGTGCTTTTCTTTGTGCTGCTCGGAAATGGCTAGTGGGGAATAAATTGTTGGGGGTTTGTCTTCTTCACTTGCTCCTGACAGTTCAACTTTGGCCGACGGGAACATGATGGTTGTCCGGCTAAGAGCTTCTCCACCTATCTCCGGCATTTTGCGGCGGCATGGGAGTTCCTGGGCATCATCTTCTTCGGTTCTTCCATAGCAGCACCTTGTTCTATTCATATTACCGCAGGTCCAAAGCACTAGTGCTGCCAACACAGATAAAAACCTGCAAAACATAACAACAAGAAACACCGTAGCTCGAGTCGCGTAAACGTTGTCCTCCGAAAGTATTTCCAGTGAACGGAAATCTTCCCCCAGGATTAAACGAGCCCTTCGACAAATAGTCGGAACCAGAACTACGAGGAAAATCATAATTATAATCCAACACAGGCTTAGTACAGGAAACATTTTCAATGGAGTAGTTTTTCTTTTCTTTTTCTCGAAGAAGACAAAGTCTACGTACATCACATATTAAGGGATCCTTCCTCCCCATTAAAAAGAGAATAATATGACTGTTGGTGATAAATAGGAGTAACTAATGGTGAGCCTAGTAACGTGCAATAGCCAACCAAGTACAAAACATCCGTTCAAGATGTTATTTTGGCTCCACTCTATTAAGTAAAAAGTTAATTCTCCTTTCGGTTACTTAATACTTTAAGAGTGAAACAATTGTTTAAAATATTTTCTTTATTTGAAATAACAAAATTTCCAACAATCCCCCACATATTTCAAATAAACATATTTTAAATATTTAAGAAAACATGTTGGATTAAAAGAATGAGACTTTAAGTTTGGTGTCCGTAGACTATGAACCAAACCGAGACGATTAAGTCTTTATAAACCGAGCTTTTGGTGAAACGTATAGTTTCTATGAACCAAGAAAGCTACTATGGTAAATCAGGGTCTTAATGGCCATGTCTCACCCCGCACACTTCCTCGCGTTAACGCCGTGGTGCGCATTTCGGCCGTGCGCGTGCCTGGTGTTCGTGAGTGCTCTAGAAGCGTTGTCAAGGCTTCATGGAGGCGGCCCCACCTCACACTCATATAGGTGATCTCATCAAGTGTGTTCTGCACTTAACACACCACCCGTAAGGGCTATGAAAATCATTAAGAGTTTTAGCTCAGCCTCACAACGAATGCAGTCTAGCCTTCCACACCATATAAAGGGACATTTAATAAGGCTAGCAGAACAAATAGAAGACTTGTTATTACCCATATGAACTTGCTTCATGGGATCTCCAATCACACAAGTTGGGTTACCATCCCTATTTGTAATCAAGTGACACTAGTCCCATTTCCCTCGAGGTTTCACTTATCCTTTTTCGTCCTAGGGCTTTAGTCAAAGGATCCGCTAGATTTCCTTCTGACCTCACAAAATTAATGGAAATAATTCCATTCTTCAATAATCGTTTAATGACTTTATGCCTTAAACGAATATGTCTATTCTTCCCATTATAACACATTTTCTTAGCAGTATTTATTGCACTTTGGCAATCACAAAGAATAGACACCGATGGTGTTGGTTTTGTACCAACCGGAATTTCTGCTAAGAAATTTTTCAACCACTCCGCCTCACTACTAGTCACTTCCAAAGCTATAAGCTCGGACTCCATAGTGGATCTAGAAATGAGAGATTGTTTGGTTGATTTCCACATAATAGCACCACCTCCAAGGGTGAATATATATCCAGTATTGGATTTAATCTCATCTGAGTCTGAGACCCAGTTGGCATCGCTGTATCCCTCTAGTACAGCGGGTAAACCTCTATAAAATATACCATAATTCATGGTACCTCTCAAATATCTCAATAACCGCCTCAACGCGGCCCAATGATCCCCATTTGGATTATGGGTATATCGGCTCAATCTTCCGACAGCATAAGCTATGTCGGGTCTCGTATAGTTCATTAAATGTAATAAACTCCCAATTATTTGTGCATATTCATATTGAGCCTCAGGATCACCTCTATGCTTTTTCAAATGTGTACTAGAGTCATAAGGGATTTCCACAGGTTTGACATCAAAATGTCCAAACTTCTTTAGAAGTTTTTCAGCATAGTGCTCTTGAGATAGTATAATACCATCATCCTTCCTTATGACTTTAATACCCAAAATCAGTTTTGCTTCACCCAAATCTTTCATATCAAATTTTGAAGCAAGAAATGATTTTGTCTCATTTATTAGCTCAAGGTTGCTACTAAATATTAGCATGTCATCCACATACAAGCAAATAATAATGCACACACCATTTTTTATTTTAGTGTATACACATTTATCTACTTCAAGTGAGGTAAAACCATGAGCAAATAATACTTCATCAAATTTTTCATTCCATTGTTTAGGAGCTTGTTTCAAACCATATAAAGATTTGACCAACTTACACACTTTGTGTTCCTGTCCAGAAACTACATGACCTTCCGGTTGCACCATATAAATTTTTTCCTCTAATTCACCATTTAAAAATGCCGTTTTAACATCCATTTGATGGATAAGAAGTTTGTGAATAGAAGCCAAGGCAATTAAAGTTCTAATGGAAGATATTCTCGTTACCGGTGCAAAAGTATCAAAATAATCAACATCTTGTTTTTGAGAAAAACCTTTTGCCACAAGCCTTGCTTTATATTTGTCAATTGAACCATCCGGATTAAATTTCTTTTTAAAAATCCATTTACATCCGATTGGTTTGCACCCTTTAGGCAAATCAGTTAAAATCCAAGTTTTATTTTTCTGAATAGATTCAATTTCATTTTGAATTGCCTCAAGCCAAAAAGGAGCCTCTTTTGATGAAATAGCTTGTGTATAAGTAAAAGGTTCATCATTAACAAGATATGTATAAAAATCATTTCCAAAAGATCTTTCTATCCTTGGCCTCTTACTTCTTCTCAAATTAGAGGGTTCATCATTAAAAGTATTATTTTCTTTTAATGGCTCACTTTCACGATATGGCACAACGGTCTTGTATTCTGGCTTTAAAGGAAACACACTCTCAAAAAATTCAGCATTTTTTGTTTCAATAATAGTATTGCAACTAAGCACATCACTTTTCAAAACAAGAAATCTATAAGCAGCACTACATTCAGCATAACCAATAAATATGCAATCAGATGTCTTAGAACCAATTTTCCTCTTCTTAGGATCAGGCAATAAGACTTTAGCCAAACACCCCCACACTTTCAAATATTTCAAATTAGGCACATAACCTTTCCACAATTCATAGGGTGTTCTCTTATTGTGCTTATAAGGAATTCTGTTTTGTAAGTGACAAGCAGAAAGAATAGCCTCCCCCCACAGATTATCAGGAGCACCAGAACTAATTAAAAGAGCATTCATCATTTCTTTTAATGTCCTATTTTTTCTTTCAGCTATTCCATTTGATTCGGGCGAATATGGAGGAGTTATCTCATGAATAATCCCTTCCCTCTCACAAAAATCATTTATTAAAATATATTCGCCCCCTCTATCCGATCTCACTCTCTTAATCTTCTTATTCAATTGATTTTCCACCTTGGATTTATACACTAAAAATTTATCAAAAGCCTCATCTTTACGTTTAAGCAAATAAACTTTAGTGTATCTCGAAAAATCATCAATAAAAGTGACATAAAATTTATTACCACCTCTGGTCATGGTATTTTTTAAATCACCCAAATCTGTGTGAATTAACTCAAGCAGTTCTGATTCCCTGTGTGTGGTAGGACATGATTTTTTGGTTTGTTTTGATTCAACACAAATATCACATTTTTCTAGTGTCAATTTCTTTCCACTAGAAATCAAACCACAATCATTCAACAATTTAATATAAGAATCACTCACATGTCCTAATCTAGCATGCCACACATCATATGAATCAATTAAATAAGCAGAAGCATTTTCACGCATTAATTTCCGAACACTAAGCACATAACATCCATTCTTACAATAGCCTTTGCCCACAAAAACATCATTTTTGGTCATAACAATTTTGTTACAATCAAAAGAAACTTTAATCCCGACTTTTACCAAGAGAGAAACAGAAACTAAATTAGTCCGAATCTCAGGCACATAAAGTACATCATTTAGTGATAAAGATTTCCCCGATGTGAGTTTAAGAAGAACTTTCCCTTTACCGTGCACCTTTGCGGTTTTTGAGTCCGCTAGGTACACGAGCTCTTCGTCATCTCCCATAGTGGTACTAAAGGAGGTAAAAGCACTTTTGTTTTTACAAATGTGCTTGGTAGCCCCGGAGTCTACCATCCATTCATTCACATCATTTATTTTACAGCTTTGAGAAACAACCGCAATAAAATTTTCATCACTTTTAATCAATTTTAATTTTGATTTAAGTGGGTTATTGTTTCTCATAGTTGTCTTTTTATCACATAAAATGATATAAATTATAACACATGGGATTAAACTAAGGCTTATTGTGAATGGGATAACCAAAGAGAGTCCAAAAAATTGTAGAGAGCACGGCATGGCAAATGCTGGCAGGCAACATAATGTTAAATATCTCAACATAATGGTCAGTAGTAAAATTACCCCAATTTGCAGACCTACGCAGAAGCATTTGGCCAAACGCTGCCTAGAGATTATTGTTCCAGCCATTGGGTCAACATCATCGTGATTGTTGTTGAGGTTAACGTCGAGCAAGTCTTGTCCGGAAATACTTTCAGAGTTTGTTGGGGGTTTGTCTTCTTCACTTGCTCCTGACAGTTCAACTTTGGCCGACGGGAACATGATGGTTGTCCGGCTAAGAGCTTCTCCACCTATCTCCGGCATTTTGCGGCGGCATGGGAGTTCCTGGGCATCATCTTCTTCGGTTCTTCCATAGCAGCACCTTGTTCTATTCATATTACCGCAGGTCCAAAGCACTAGTGCTGCCAACACAGATAAAAACCTGCAAAACATAACAACAAGAAACACCGTAGCTCGAGTCGCGTAAACGCTGTCCTCTGAAAGTATTTCCAGTGAACGGAAATCTTCCCCCAGGATTAAACGAGCCCTTCGACAAATAGTCGGAACCAGAACTACGAGGAAAATCATAATTATAATCCAACACAGGCTTAGTACAGGAAACATTTTCAATGGAGTAGTTTTTCTTTTCTTTTTCTCGAAGAAGACAAAGTCTACGTACATCACATATTAAGGGATCCTTCCTCCCCATTAAAAAGAGAATAATATGACTGTTGGTGATAAATAGGAGTAACTAATGGTGAGCCTAGTAACGTGCAATAGCCAACCAAGTACAAAACATCCGTTCAAGATGTTATTTTGGCTCCACTCTATTAAGTAAAAAGTTAATTCTCCTTTCGGTTACTTAATACTTTAAGAGTGAAACAATTGTTTAAAATATTTTCTTTATTTGAAATAACAAAATTTCCAACATAAATCAATCTGGCTTCCTTGTGCAGCTGAAAAAATAATTCAAAACAAATTGGTAGCTACATCCGACGACCATAATTGATTCAAAAGCAAAAAGAAAAAATTAGGTACATCCCACGGCTAAAAATTATATCCAACAGGTAAAATAATTTTTTGGAAAAATTGATAACAATAATCCCACCTTTCACTGGTATTCTCATAATAATCCCACATTTACGTAATCCCATAATAATCCCACTTTTGCACTTAATCTTCTTTCATTGGACCCTTTTTTTGAAAATCTTATATAAATAATCCCACTTTTGTATGTCATCAATAGGTCAGGGTCCAATGAAAGAAGATGGAGTGTAAAGGTGGGATTATTCTTGGATTACGTAAAGGTGGGATTATTATGAGAAGACCAGTGAAAGGTGCGATTATTCTTGTTAATTTTTCCATATTTTTTTTACTTTTTGGTAATTTTTTTAAGAAAAGTATGGTCAGATTTCTATATAAACACTACTCTTACCTTCATTTCAATACACCTCAATCATCATTCTTTCTCTATATTTGATTTTTATCAATTTTTAATACTACTTAATAATATGTCTACATATTCGATCTTGTGTAACTCTTGGCATGGATCTCTATTTCGGAAGATGGTGCTGTCGGAATCAATCAATCGGGTGATTCATTTTGGTCCCGAGTTCACATGTTGTTTTGCCAAAAAACAAATACGATAATTCGGACTAAAGAGGCTGTTGAATCAAGATTCAAAGTTATCAATCATCAGTGTTCACTATGGAAGGGGAGTTTGCAAAAGGCAAATGCAACTCCTAGAAGTGGATCCAATCCAATGGATGTGGTATTTTAAATAATTTCCTTCCTAATAATATGAGTACACTTTATGTATTACATGAATTATTATTCATTATTTCTATTTTACATACTTTTATAATTACGTATATTACTTAATATTATTTATATATTACTTTAGTATATAGTGCATGTATGTAACAATATACATGTACGTGTACATATGTTAATATATTATAATGTACTACGTGTAGTGCATGCATAAAAATGTAGTATTACAATGTATTACGTGTGGTGCATGCATAAACAATATGTAATACGTAGTATTATTTATAAATATTTACGTGTAATATTTATTAGTAATACATATAATAGTACTGCTATGTATTAGTTTATGTGTCGTATTAGTTTATGTATTAATTTTATGTTTTACATACTATCATAGTGTACGTAAATAAATGTAGTGTGTAGTAGTATATAAACGTAATACTCCGTACGATTTATGTATAATAATAAATAAATATTAATATCCACTTGTTTTTGTAGGAGTTTGCTGCAAAAACTATCTTTGTGAATGACAATAATAACAAGGCCTTTAAGTTTGACCATGCTTGACATGTACTTCAAGCATGTCCGAAGTGGTATCAACAATATGATACTTATGTTGTAAAAACCGGACCGGTGAGCGACCCAGTCATGTGACTGGGTCACGGGTCAACCCGGTCAAAGCCGGAAAACCGGTCAACTATTATACGTGTATATAATAATAATAATAAACATAAAATTATATACACTCTCATTATACGGAGTATATTTTTATTAGTATTGTACACTTATATTATAATTTGGCATGATTTTCATTCTTAAATAAATATATAAATATATTACATAGTTTTTCTTTTTAGGGAATTGAAATTGCAATTTTATTGGTTTAAAAATGCATTAAAATTAAAAAGAAATTACTTTTTTCTTTTGGAAAAAGAGCGAAAACCTGGTTTTCCTGGGTTTTTCGGGTTTCTTGGGCTCGGGTCCGGATCGGGTTTTTTCGGGTCAGCCGGGTTTTTCCGGGTTTTGACCATTTTCGGGGTTTGAAGAAACCGAACCGGATTTTTGTCCGGGTCACCGGGTTCCGGGTCAACCCGGCCGGGTCGGGTCGGTTTTTTAAACATAGTATGATACTACTCCCACTTTTACGTTTGTACCTTCTGTCACTTCCGATACGTTTGTTGGAGGAAGTAGTGGTTCCTCTCCTTCTGATGGCATAAGTGGTCCTCTTCGATGCCCCGATGGGCGTGACAAACAGAAGGGGAAGAAAATAGTAAAAAAATAAGAATTCAAGGACGGACCTTGTGATGCTTGAGTACATGGAAAGAATGGTGAAGCAAGGCGGGCTAATGGAAAAGAGAAGAGAGGAGAGGTACGAAGCGGCGAAGGTGAATGCTGATGTGACTACAAGACTGAAACATATAGATGTCGTAACCATGGATCTAAGTCAGTACTCACCGAGGAAGCAGAAGTGGCTAAGAGAACAGCAAAATGCCATTTTGGGCTATGATCAAGATGCCGCGAGTACCGATGCCGCCACTTCCGTGTATGGGAATGACTACTTTCCTAGTTTTGACTAGGGCATGGATGGTGTAGTTTTTCGTTTTTCGTTTTTGTTGTTTAATTCCAATGTATTTCAATTTTCCTTTTTGCTATTGAATTCCAGTGTATTTCAAATTTCGTACTAGTTATTTAATTCCAGTGTGTTTCGGTTTTCGTTATTTAATTCAATTGTATTTTAGTTTCGTTATTTAATTAAATATATTTCAGTGTTCGTTGTTTAATTTAATTGCATTGCAGATTTCGTTATGTAATTCAATATATTTTGGTTTTCCTTATTTAATTCAATTGCATTTCAGTTATTTAAAAAAAGTTTGCCTTATTCTTTCATGAATTATTAGTAACAACTTGGTTGTTCATTTCACATGTAGATAGTACCCACTTGCTTAGTCCTGTACTCCTTTCATATCATATCTAACAATCAAGTGGACACATGCAATTACTAGCCACTTGCTATGTCCTTTCACATCTAATAAGTACCCACTTGTTTTTGAAATATCTTGCCACTTGCTTAACATTTTTTGTATAAATAGATGCATCACTTCTCAATCTTCTCACACTCAATCCTCCTCATTTCTATATACACTATAATATATTCCTTTATCATGAGTTATTATCCCGATATGTCAGCAGCCTTAGATGAGTATGATGATGATTGTGAGGCCGATGCTCATCGTATGAGAATGGGTGTTATGACCACACTTATTTCTTCAAGCTCCGGTGGTCATCGTGAATACATTGACCGAGGTAGGGAAGATGGCCACCAACGTTTGATGGATGATTATTGGAGTCTAAATCCAACTTACAACGCTCGCATCTTCCGGCGTCGTTTTCGCATGCAACTGTCTTTGTTTGATCGAATAATGAATGATGTGGTGCAAGCCGATCCTTTCTTCGCACCAAAAAAAGATGCACTTAATAAGGTCTCACTTTCTCCTCATCAAAAAATTACTAGTGCCATATTTATGCTAGCCTATGTTGCACGTATACGGATATGCCGATACGCGGATACGCGGATACGGGTACGGCGATACGACAATTTCAAAAATTATAGGATACGGGTACGGGGGTATATTTATAAATAATAAAAAATATAGGGTTTAATTTGCAAATATATATAATTCAAGGATTCATAAATAAAATAACTATTGTACAAAAAATAATTATTATAATAAAATTTCAAAGATTAGGCTAGAAAATCTAAAGTACTGTTATTTTGATTTAAATTCAAATAATATTTTTTGTTCTCTATTTGCATTTACATCTAAGTTTTGTTTCAATTAAACTTCATCAAGCGATAAAATGAAAAATTATAGTATTCCATATTTTTTCATACTCCCGAAATCATCTTTATCAATGTTCCGCATCTTGTGGTCGCTTGGGCAGCTACTAAGTTTTCGTCATGTCGTTTACGAAATGAGGGTTATAGGAGCGGATACACGTATCGGATCACGGATACGGGTATCCGTTTACGGATACGGGTATCGGAAGTATCGGGATTTTAAAAAATAAGCCCGATACTTTTATTAAATTACGGACACGGACCCAATACGTACATGACGCGTATCGGTGAGTATCGGTATCGGATACGTATCGGATACGCGGATACGGCATCGGGGTGAAGTATCGGTGCACCGCAGATGCTAGCAAATGGTTGTTCTGCTGATTCATTAGATCAGTTGTGCCGTCTGGGGGAGAGCACGACTTTGTCGTGTTTGAAGAAATTTTGTAAGGCAATTATCGTAACATATGGTTCTTGGTACTTGCGAACACCAAACCCCAATGACCTCCATTGTCTTCTTGAAAAGGCTACAAAAAGAGGTTTTCCCGGCATGATTGGTTCCATCGACTGTATGCACCGGGAATGGAGGAATTGTCCTACAGCATGGGCGGGACAGTTCACTGGGCACAAGCACAAACTAACTATTGTGCTTGAGGCCGTTGCTTCATACGACACATGGATATGGCATGCATTTTTCGGCACGACGGGTTCCAACAATGACCTTAATGTACTTGCATGCTCTCCAGTTTTTGATGTTGTTGTTAATGGATGTGCTCCTCAGGTAAGTTACATGGTCAACAATAACATTTACGATCAATGTTATTATTTAGCCGATGGAATCTATCCCACATGTGCTACTTTTGTTAAAACAATTAGTAACCCTGACACCCCCAAGAAACAGCTCTTTGCTGCTAAGCAGGAGGCCTATCGCAAAGATGTGGAAAGAGCGTTTGGCATTTTACAAACGCGATGGGCTATCGTACGAGGACCCGGCCGAATGTATAAGACACAAACATTACGTGATATAATGCTCACATGCATTATTTTACACAACATGATTGTAGAAGATGAGTATGAAAAACTAATGATGATGCAAGTATTCAAGACTATAGTGCGGAGTATGACTATATTGTTCCGAACATTCAGTTTGATCTTAATCACGATGCCCCGACTTTGCACGACTACATGATGCGACATAACCGCATCAGGAGTACTGCGGTGCACACTGCTCTTAAAAATGATCTTGTGAATCATTTGTGGGGCCATCACGGGAACACCGTGTAATGGGTTACTTTTATGTTGTTTACTGTTTTTTACTCGTTTCAGTTGAATAATGCTACTACTGTTTGTAGCTTTTCCCATTATTGTAATGCATTAGGATTTCTTCATCTTTTTTAATTATCCTACCGAATATTATGCGTGTTTCTAATAATTGATTGTTGGTATTTTGATTTTACATGTGTTTCAATTGATTTAAATTTAATATTAAACAAGTTCATAGTATATAAAATGAAAAATTAATAATATAGAAATATAGAAAACAAATAATAGTTTTAAATTTATTTCAAATTTACGATAAAAAAAATTATTTCAAATTTAACTCAAGTACGCATTTTTAATACTAAAAAAATCCACATTTTTAATTTTTTTACATCCGAATGTTTGAATTTTTAAACAATAATTATTGGTCAAAATAAAATTAATACATAAATGATATGTAATGAAATAACTAAGGATTTATGCATTAAATACAAAAAACAATGTGCTGAGTAAGTATATTGACGGTGCTGGGTTGCAGAGAAAAACTGAATTGACTGAGTGAATACGTATAAATTGGAGGGTAATTAGATTTATTGACGGAATGGGTTGCGGTTAGCCTAATAGAACCTACAAATGGTAATTCTGACATTGGGTTGACATTCATGGCAGCAACTAAGAGATCCAGACTTATCATCATTGTGCCTGCTTCCACAAGGCACACCTACATTAGTGTCAGTACGAGTGAGTGAGTGAGTGACATATAGGTCTTGAAGAAATGATAAGAAGCAAAGCCAAATAGTATAATAAATAAATGTAGTAAATTGGAATAATAGATTGAATTGAATATTTATTGTGATACTCTTATATATTATTTTATGATGCTTTTTGTTGCACTACATGTATTGCATTTTGTTGCATTGTGTTGCACTGCATGTATTGCATTTTGTTGCATATTGTTACTCTTTGTTGCATATTGTTACTCTTTGTTGCTTTTTGTTGCATATTGTTACTCTTTGTTGCTTTTTGTTGCATATTGTTACTCTTCGTTGCATTGTGTTTCTTATGATTGTTTATTGTTGATTTTGTTTTTTGTTGTTTATTTAGATTTCTATATTTTTCTACATCTTTAAAATAGAAATATCTATGCATGTTTATTCAAAATCATATAGATATAAACACCTAAAATGTTTACTTTCGATTTATGAATACGAAAAGCAACCAGAAACATAAAAAAACAATAAAAAAACAAAAATTTCAGAATTATCAACAAATAGATACACAAAGAAATCATAAGAAACAAAAACTAACAATAAAGTTGTAACACCCCCAAATTTCCCACCCAAAAATAATACTTTATTCAAAAGAAATATTAACTTTATTCGAAAACATCAGAGTTATGCAGCGGAAAACCAAAAGGGAAATAGGGGTGTTACCGCCACACTCGATTCTCCCTTAACCGAGTGCACAGGCTAAAACAACTTAAACTCCAAAAATAATTATTCACTAACTAAAGATATTGAAAATGGAATTACAATGATTTACTAACTATGTTTTCTAGCGGAAGCTCTCTCAAAATCAACATCATCATCAAAGCGTCACCTGTACAAAATCAAGTACAGAAAGAAAAACAAAAGAAAACAAAAATTAGCAACAATGCTAAGTAAGTTCCACCTAACCCCATAAAATAATAAATAAAATTTAATGTTTTTGAAAGACATTTAGGAGGATTTTTTTTTTAAACAATTTATAAAATCTTCTCATAGCATAATTCACTAGTAAAATAATAGTACCTCAAATATAAGCAAATATTTCCAAACCACAATAATTACAAAAATACCAAATATACATACAACCACCAAAAATAATTACAATAATTCCAAAGCATAAATCAAACACCAAATATCTATCTCAAAATACTTATGAATACTCGTAAAGGGTAACATAATCAAACCAAATCAAATATAAAAGTATTTATACTCTAACAATTCATAAATAATTTAACAACTCAATCCAACTCAAATTCAGTCCAAATACAATCCAATCCAATAATCCAACAATTCCAATCAATCCAATAATTCAATTCCACCAAAAATCCAATCAAATAATATTCACCTTAAGTCCAAATCAAGCCAATCAAATAATCTCAATCACCTCAATCCAATCAAAATCCAGATCACCTCAAACCCAATTAAAGCCAGTGGAAGCCGAACTCCTACCTTAAGTGTGCACACCCCCTAAAAGGGATTTCAAGCCCTCCGGGAAGTAAGAAGCCCGAGTAGTCGGGATTTTTCTACCAACTACACTACAATTAAGCTGAGATACTCCGCTTTTGGGAAGTACCCCTGGTGGATTTAGACTTATAGCCATTACCACTCACCAATACCACATTTATCCGGATGTGGCAAACCGACACCACAGATTACTCCGGGTGCTCACCAAAAATCACAATTCATTCTCAAAGTTCCAAACCAATATCACAACCTCAACCAAAACGGATATGAAATCCAAAGTCCACAAACTAATCCACAATGTAAAATATCAACTCCAACAAATTACACTCAATGTATCATACATTAAAATTTCACAAGAGAGCCAGAATATAGAATACTTCATAAATAGCTCAAATCTCAATTATAATCCCAACAACAACTCATATGATAACTCAAAATATCATCCAATATCAAATACTCAAATTTCAAATATAATTTCTCGATAGCAATCCATAAATAATTCCAAATACTCAAATAAAATCTCAATCGTAACTAATACGTAAATGTAATTGCTAGAAATCTCATCAAATCATCAAATATTTCAACTAAATAATCATAAATAGATTTACGAGGATAAGGTATAATTTTGGTTGACGTGAAACTTACCTCAAACTCCAAGTACTCTTAGCGAAATTCTTCTATTTTGCTCCTCACTCAAGTTCACCTTCTAATTCACCAATCAATAATCAAATCAACTATTTAAATTCCTCTACCCTTTAGTTATATCCCCTCTTTATGCTTTTATCGTTTCAATAGTAATTAGTCATAATAATAGTCCATACCATCCATTATATTATAGTCTCCAACTCTCCATTACCGTTTTTATCATTTTTATCATTACCGATGCTACTAACAAAATATTACTCTTTATCATATAAACTATTACCCCGTATTACTCGTATTAGAAAATCAGCTCAGTCCAAAGATATCATACTATGTAGAATAACAGAGCAGGGCTTACGGAGTTTAAAGCTTACGTACTCCGGTAAGTGATCGACTTCCTCGTCAATCCCTCGCAAGAGTCCCAGCCGGCGTAGTCGTCAAGGCGAGCTATGGGGACGGAAATGGACAGCTTTCCTTCCGGTGGATACAGCGGCGGCAAAGAATCGGTGGCTACACTTCCTCTTCCCCGGCGATCTTCTACAACGTCACTCCGGCGTGAACCAGTCCGGCGAGTCTGGCTCCGGCATAGCAGCTCTTCCGATGAAACAGACTGGTGATGTTCAGAGGAGACGGTTCATTCCAGCGACCAAGACTCTGGCCGGCGCAGGCCCCTGGTGCCTTTGAGGCCGGTGAGAGCTTTGCCTCAGGCCACCAAAAAACTAAGGCCCCATTTTAATAGTGCCTTTGTATTATTATTTAGTAGGGTCAATATGTTTTTTTAAATATCTCAAATTAATTATAAAGAAATTGAATTGAATTCTTATCCTAATAGTAATTTTGGAGTGTTTGCGATTGCTTCTAATTTTAAAAAGTGATTTTCTAAAGTGATTTTGGAGAAAGTACTTAATAGTAAAAGTTGGTAGTGTTTGAGAAAAAAGTGATTCTGAAAAAGTAAAAGTTGGTAGTGTTTGGTAAAATAAGTGCTTTTTGTGTAATAGAAAAAGTAAAAAGCTGTTTAAAGCACCCTTCTACCTGCTTCCAGCTTTTAGCTTTAAAGTGATTAATTTAAGCAGAATATGTCATTTGAAAACACTCTTTTCAGCTTTTTTTAAGCTAAAAGCTGAAAAGCACTTTTTAAAAGCTCCCGCAAACACTTCTTAACTATTACCACATGTCAAAAAAGCTACAATGGATATATCTCAATTCCCGAGACAACTCAATCCTAATAAATACTTTGTATATACCAATTATTTATTTAAGTATTTATTTAAGGCATTTCTCATTATTTTCTCCTCTCAATTCTTTCTCTCAATTCTTTCCCTGCATACGAGTATACTTCTCCAGGCCGACTTTGGGACTTGTTTCAAAATTAAGATCAACTACGTCACAAGACCGATTAGACGGACTAAGTATATTATCTATAGAAAATAATATGCTAGAACATTTAGTAATAAGTGATTTTGCAACTGAAAAAACAAGAAAAATAAATAAATTTCTTTGACATTTGTATATATTTTCACCTAAAATATAGGCTTCATTTAACTTTTTGCCTCAGGCCTACTTATCTCTAGACACGACCCTGGGCCGGCGTTCTTCGATCATCTTTCTTCTCGCGATGACGGGCTTAAGGTTCTGTCCGACGCAGCGGAAAGGTCGATATATGTATACGTAAGTGTGTTTGTATATGAGGTACTCCGTATATAGTAGCGAATTGAAAGTGCTTCTCTTCTGCGGCGGCCGTAAACAATGTGTGTCTATATATATATGCTTCGCCAGTTAGCCGATGCTTCTAGGCCTTAGGGTTTCCATGCATTGAAATCAATTATGTTTTGGCCGCGTGCGTTTTTCTTCGTGCCTGGATGTGCGTTTAAAACATATACGCATGTACGTATTACTCCATAGGTATATATGGAAAGTCACTATTTGTACATTTAGTAAGTAATACGTATGTACTTCGTATCATATTATTATATTAATATTATAGGCTATATACGTGTGTGCATATTTTATTTGTTAAAAGAAATGTTACTTCCATCATTTCGATCAAAATTGTATCTAATTAACATAATTGTCATAAAAATATCACTTTCAAATATGATTAGAAAAATATTAGCAATCTTATTAGTAATATCATTTATTTTATTTTATTGAAATTTTCGGGGTGTCACATTCTACCCCCCTTAAAAATATGCTTCGTCCCCGAAGCATGAAACATAATCAAGGGCAATACTTCTTCAGTTTGATCTCTTCTTTAGTGCTCTTCATTGTCTGCTTCAGCGTTTCCATCTGGAGTAGTCGTACTCTATAGTGGGTGGCAGCTTTGGCGTAAGCCTCTTTAGAGTTTGGCATCGTAAAAC